TTTTTTTTTTATAGAATCTTTTTTTTTCGTCTATCTAAGGTTTCGTCATCGATGCAGATCGTGAAATCTGTTTCTTTGCAGATTGAAAGGAATCAAATTCTGTTGTCATTCAAGTAATTTCATCAAATATTTTTCCTCAAACAATTTTTCTTACAAACTTGATATTGTACATTTCAACAATTTTATATCTTGTATAAAGCTTTTTCACTCTCATTTCTGAGAAAAATCGAATTTAAAATAGATGTCCATCAATACTGGAAAAACCTCGTCCCCCATTTCCATTTTCGCAAGCAGAAAATGATCTTCTGATCTAACTGTGCAAATGAATTTAGCGTGCACTGATGCAAAAATCGCGGCTCATCTATGCGAAACCTTTCAGAAAATCGGAGCGAAAGTTCTTCAAGAATGAATAGATTTCTATTTCTCGTTACGGTGAATGTTCTAAATAAAGAATCCTCTTCAGATTCACTGAACAAATCTAATCACCGATTTATCGATATCAGAGCAACGGATTTGATACTTCTTTCGTCGCATATATTCTCGCGTCGTATCTTTTTTAGTCGTACATGAATGTATAAAGGGATCTTTTTTACAAATCTTACAAAAGTTTATAAAATATTATAATTCTATACGTTCGTTTATATGTTTAAAAAGATAAGGCATACTCGCGAAGATTAACAAGAAAACGAAAAGTGAGGATACGCGTGTGATCAAGGAAGCGTTATAAATCGTTGCTCTAACATCGATCGAAGAGAAGAGAATCTCTGAATCTGAGGAGAGGATTCTTTTATTAAGAATTTCCCTAACTACTTTTACATTCTCCCGTATAATACTTCGTGCGTTCTTACGTGTATATGTAGATTAATTTTATATTTATTCCGACGAATCGCGAATGTGTCTCTTCTTTTTCCTCTCTCTCTATTCTTATTAATATAATTCGTGTCTTTGACAATATATGTGCACATTATATATGTATAATATATACATGTATATATAAAACACGTGTATATATTATGTATATATATATAACAAAACAAGAGTAATGATTATTATAGAATGCATATTATCTCAGGAACGTGTCAAATCAGAGCGAGAGATAGATGTAATTAATATATTGAAATAAAAAAAAAAAAAAATACATATATACGATGATAAGTAAAATGTGTTTATATTTGCATAAAATATACACACGGCACGTATGCACGCGTGTATCGTGATTTGTCTATTGTGACACGATGAGAATTCATCGTGTTGCTAAGCGTTGGAGTATCAATTATATAAAAAAAGAAAAATATCACTATTATTATTGTTACGATTGTTATCACAATTATTATCTAGTATTTTGAATTTAGACTATTACATGTGTACTGTGTGATTGTTAGGATCGTTGCCCCTTTTCTTAGATTTCTCAGTGCGAAATTCTGTATCTCTTCTTATATTTCCGTATCTTTTAGCGAGGTCAGAGTTTTATTTTCTTCTAGTTAAAAAAAAAAAAAATATATATATATA